AAAATTTATATGTAAATAGCCACTACTATATATATATATAAATTTAAATAAATTGAGATTTTAAAACTTCCCAACTACATTTCAGCCGTGAATGTAATGCGCCTTGACCACAAAATGAAAAAATATATATATGGGAAATTATTTTCAAACAACTTTTTTATACCACTTTTTAATATAATTTGATATGTCATTTAAATGATTGATTTTTTTAATTCATATGAAACCTATAATATTGAATATATCTATTTATTTAATGACATCTAAAAATTGTATCAAAATATGATATAACAAAATTATCTATATAGCTCTGCTCATATGTGTATATATATATATAAAGAATACAAAAGGATCAATTTCTGCATGTTTTAGGGCGTTAACAATTTCAGCATTGAAGGATTGGTTTAACATTATTTGAACATGTATGGGCCTCGCCGCTCACCGAAAAACGAAAAAATTGAACATGTTATAATGATATAAGCAAAAGTGAAGTACCTTGGCCCCGTGCAGGGTTGATGTTTTACTAGAATTCCACGAATTCCACTTTGGGGATGCGAGAGATATGGGGCTGGTATTCCCCTTGGCAGCGACTTGAAATAATTGAAGACCTACAAATTTTCAAATTCTGAAGGGTAGTACTTCGGAGAATAGAATCCGGTAACATCTTTAACTTCTCACATCCAAAAATCACCAAGGAAGAAAGGCGTGGCATGATTTTGATATCCTCTTCTCCTCTGCTTCCATAATCCCACTCTTCCCACTCCTTCATTTCACAAAATTGCAGTGAGTTTAAATTGGGGAAGGCAACAACAGATGCTGAAGAAGAAGATGGAGACAAAGATGACGTTTCTATTCCCAAGAATTCAACTCCCACCTTTTTCATTCCTTCAATTTGCGTCAGAAGGAGCGATTCCAGTGATGGCAATTTCCACAAGGGAGGCAACTGTTCAACGTTGACACAACTACCGAGCACAAAGAACTTCAGCTTGGTTAGAGACATTATCCAACTAGGCCAAACCCCTAAGGTTGTGGTTGGGCAATTGTAGGCCCATATTCCTAACATTTCCAAGTCTAAAGGCGGTTCTAAGGCTTCAAGAACAAGAACAAATGCTTCAGAAACTTGGCTCTTATCAAAGGAAGTAGAACCAATATTTAGAGTCAAAGTAGTGAGCCCTTTCTTATTTCGTAACTGTGCCTTCTCAGCCTCTCTCTTATCTCTAACATTTCTCAATCCTCTTATCTCAAGCTCCCCTCGAAGGTGAATCAAGTTTCCCAATTCACTAAGAGCAGCTCCTTTCCCACCACTGCGCACCACGAACTCACTTAATGTTCGTAAACAAGTCAATTTCTCCATTCCTTTAGGCATGAATTCCACACAATCTGTATCCCAATTCCGAAGATGCCATAAATTTATCAGATTTCCCATTCGACAAGGTAGACTTCTAAGCTTCTCACATCCACTAATGTCTAGTATAAGCAAATTATATAAATCACAAACAGCTTCAGACAATTTCTCTAGAAAAAAATTATCTGACAAGTCAAGAGATCTTAAATGTATCAAATTTCTTATTTGTTTTGGACATTTATTAATTCTTTCAGATTGACATTTCAACATTCTCAGACATTTCAGCTTATCAAACAACTTCAATAAATCTACATTATACTCGCCAACTCCAGCAGAATCAACTAGCAAAGTGTGCAAGTCTTTAGCATCATAAATACAAGTAGGACATTCATCACTATCATATGGAATCCTCAACATCACATGACGAGCACTTTCATTAAAACCTTCAATGCTACTACCGCTTCCCGCTTCCACCGTCAAACACTCACCTCTTGTCAAAAACTGAGCAAAATCATGCACTATGTCATGCATTTTGCACTTGATAATGCCACCATTTTCATCCTTTTCAAAATCTTGAAAAAAAGAATGCATTGACAAGTCATTGAAGTAGTCTTCCCCTACAGTCTCCATATCTCGATGTTTGGTCCCCTTAAGGAAACCTTGTGCCATCCATAACTCAATTAACTTACTTTTTTCTATCACATAATCTTTTGGAAAGATTGCACAATATGAGAAACATTGTCTCAAGTGTGATGGTAAATCGTAATAGCTAAACATTAGGGGGTGAAAAAGACCTTCCTCAGCCACTTCAAGCTCCCATATTTCACTGTCTAAGACACTTTGCCATTCTTTTACGGTTTTTTTCAAGAGCATGAGACCACCCATTGTCTTTAGGGCAAGTGGTAAGCCCTTGCACTTTCCTGCTATTTTCCTACCAATTTCTCTTAAATTTTCACTGTCAGACCTCTCAAAAAAAACAATTTTACTAAACAATGACCAACCTTCTTCTTCAGACAACTGCTCCACTGGGCACAATGTAGTGCAACCCATTATTTTTGCTACATTCTCCTTACGTGTGGTGACTAAAATTTTGCTTCCTAGGGAGCCAGAACTCAACAAGAGTTTCAATCGATCCCACCTTCCATATTGTTCAGTCCACACATCATCTAGAACAAGTAAGAATTTCTTACCCTTGATTAAGTTTCCAAGGCATTGAAATACTCCTTCTAATTCAACTAAATTTTGCCCGGCATCCTTATCAAGAGATGTAAGAATTGCTTTGGCAATCCTCATCTCATCAAAAGGATCAGAGACACACACCCATATTCTGTTATCAAAATGAGATTTTACTTTCTCATCATTGAAGGCCAGTTGGGCAAGAGTAGTCTTACCAATCCCCCCAACGCCTACTATAGAGATCATGTGAAGGGTTGATCTTAATTCTCCAATTCTACCCTCATTCAACAATATATCTACAATCCTCTCCTTATCCTTAACTCTACCACACACCTCTGCTAAATTTACGAGAGAAGTAGTTTGCTCTCGTCTAATTGGTTTTTCAACACTTAACTCCTTAAGACCATACCTTTCTCTCTCATTTGCTATAACATCCAACCTCCCATTCAACTCCAATATCTTGTGTGTGGTTTTGAGAAGCAACTTCCCTCTGTTGAAACAGAGTGAAGGAGAGGGGATGAAGGAACATACCTTCTTCTTCTCAAGTTTTGACTTGAAAATTGCAGTGCTCCACTCATCCAGCACATTTTCAATGTCATATGAGACTTCCTTGAGCTTGTATAACCAATCTCGAACACTGGCCTTTTCCTTCTCCAGTTGCTGTCGCTCCGCATCCTCCAGAACAGCTTTGATGGCTTGAAAATTGCTGGCGAGCTTTTCAAGTTCACCACGAACATTACTAATGTGTCTCACCTCCTCCTCTAATACTGAACTCAACTTTTCTAGCACCCTCGAAACAATTGCTTCAGCCATGATAGAGATGAAGAAAACAATAGAAGGAAAAAGGGACAGAAGTATGCTTAATTGTTTGCTCGAGGATTTACATGGCTTATGAGATGCTTTATAGAGAACGATGGCCAAAACTCAATTTTGATTCGGTTCTTTGCGTGGAATGATGGCAAACAAGGGAAGGCAATAGAAGGGGAGAAAAAAGAAGTATATATGCTTGCTTTTTTGATACAGTTGAATGGCTTAGACGAGGAGGTTATCCCATTTCCACTTTTATAAAAGATGATAGCCAAAACTCTATTCTGATTCTGTGCACAGTACCATATTCTTTGAGTGAAATAAAGGCCAAAAAAGAAAAAAGAAAAAGGAAGAGAATAGAAGAAAAATAAGAGAGAAGATATGCTTAATTTGATTGTGGTATGCCTACTCATCAGATTCTTTGCTTGGAATGATGAAAAAAAAATCCCCATTTTGCAGTCTGAAGACAGCCCCACATTGAAGGCTGGACTATACAACACATTAAAGAGAGAGAGAGAGAGAACAGTAGAAAGAAAAACGAAAGGAGACAGAAGTGGCTTAATCGTAATGCCAATAAAGATAGCTATTAACTAACTACAAAATGACTAATGATAGAACTTAAGGATATAAACTTTTGAAGAGTTCAGGAAGCTGTCTTTGTAGAGATTACCAATTTTTATGGGGCAATGAACTAATGATATCAAGATCGCTGAAATACTATACCACTTTGTTTTTGAGTAGCAACCAATCTCTAGGTGATTCTCAGTGCCTCGCAAAATCTAATACCAATTATGTAATCAAAGAGTTGCCGCTGCCAACTTCCTTTCCCCCGAAGAAACAAGTAATTTGTAATCCTGCACATCTCAGTATATCAGCAATAGGTCAATGATGCCTTGACTGCATGGCATGCCACAACAGCCATTACATCTAAGGCAACTCATAAGTTTGAACTAAGACAAAGCATTTTTGTTGCAATAACAGAAGATGTCACAGGATAGAATGATACAGAGAGTACCAGTACAATGGACCGTGCACAAAGCTTCCCTGAAAGAACAGCACCTTCCATTGAGGCCAAATACTTTTGCTTTGTGTAGTCACCTGCTAGATAGAACCCCTCTACAGGAGATCTTTGCAAAGGACGGCATGGTTCACAATTTGGAGTGGTTTTGTATACAGACCTAACAAAATTTAGGAGTTATGTCAAGTAAGTGAACTAGAAACATAATAAAAGTTAAGGCTTGGTGCTGTGCAATTAGGATCATTAATAAAATTTATACAAATGCACATCTACAAACAGAAAATAACGAGTTATTGCCACAATTACAATGTTTATGCACTACCATGAGTATATAGACAAATAACTCTAACCATCCAGCAGCAATTATAATTTAATTAAATGCATCTAACATATTCTGAATAACTAACCTCTTAGTTTTGAGTCTAACCTTGGTGTCTTAACACCGTAATACTTTAAGATTTTCGCTTTGCTCTGATCTGCAGATTTCATCTGGAAAAAGTTTAGCAAGTTCCTTCATCGTAGCATCAATAATTTTGGAGTTGCTTCTTGAAATCCACTCTTCTGCAGGGGCAAAAACCAACTGCAGCATGGATTGGATTGGGTTATAGTATTCCAGCATAAAACATTAGAATATTAAGTAAGAGAAAAAATAGATAAAAAGGCCTTATTAATCACAAAAAATGTTATGTTGTTTTCGTTTTACTTTCAAGTAAAAAGGAAGAAATTCATATCAAAATTGCATAATTTTGTTAGGAAAGAGTAGAAACATTTAACTTGTGTTTAAGTGCATAGTGCTCTATTACTAATTGAACATCACAAAAATCATTTTGGGCTAATCAATAATCATACACAAGGAGTTGCAAACGTCCATCAAGCAGAGAAATATCAGCAACCTGTTGGCTTAAAGAAACATAAGTTGAGGTAGAACAACGAAATAGATAGCCATCAATGACAATGTTTACTTTACATGTCACAGACATGTCAGCATACACACTTAGAAGGGGACTTCTGCAAGAAAAAAGGAATAGGATTAATAAGAAATTGGGGCAACAATTAGGTGAAGAAGTTCTATCCAAATTAAATAGTGCAAATGTGAATTTTCAGTCCAATGACTGTGCCAGACAAAAGGTCTTGTCAATTTAACACCAAAATCATGGTAAAGATGGGATTATTTCAGTTTCTGGATATATGGAAATGCATAACCAGAATTTCATTAACATACCTTGTGGTGACATTCGTATTTAATTATATTAAATTATTGACAGATGAGAAATTAGTGTGCTTAGCCATTGCAGAGGTTTGAAGTATGACCCTAAACCCAAAATTAATGTTTCCAGAAAGTTCTACCATCTTGTTGGTTTGTAATTAAATTAAGTTCTATTGACAAAAAATGTGATGGAAAATAGAAGCTTCACAGTACGTCTAGCAAAGTACAACCTGCTGAAGAGTAAGTGATCATATGTGTTCTTCAGTTTTCTGTCAAACCTGCATATGAAGATAATCTGTGTCAGTCAACCGCTGGAATCACATCTGAATCATTAGCAGCAAGTATTTAACAAATCAGAAGTATAATACCAAACCAAATAACCAACCAATAGATATCATGATATATTTGCTGATATGATAAAATAAAAGAAGAATAAAAAGGAAGGACAAGGGAGAATACAGAGGAATAGAAGTGCAAAACCATGGAAAAATAATAGAGGAAAATCAATTCTTCATAACTCTTCAAACCTAGCTTAGCATTTATATATTGCCAAAACCCTGCTTCCAACATAAGCACTCTCTGACAAAATTACATAACTACTTCAAATTAGTTCTAATAGAAATAGAAAATTAAAAATAACCAGATATACTAAATAAGATAATCCAATAATAGATACTACAATTATATCAAAATTGCAAATAACCAAAAAATCAAAATTTCTAAATAATCCCATCTAGCATAATAATTTCTTGGTTACCACCATGATATTCTATCTACTCAGCTACCAAGCTGGTAACCATTATGTTGTTCTTTTTGGCTAATGGCACCATGATATTCTATCTACTTGGTTTCCCCTCAGAAACAGATTTTGATCAAAGTAACCATTATACCTGATTCCTCATCCACTGTGTCACACTTAAACCATCTTGAGCCTCAACATAAGCTTGCCCACCAATCATTGCTGGAAGGAGCCCAATTGCAAATTTCACTTTCTCTGGCCAAGTCAGCATTTCATTATTCTTCAATATGGCCCATATTCCTGTCGATCACATCAACCACAAATGTAATAGCAAGTCATGTGCAAATGTGATTTGTTACTTTGTAGATGTTGATATTGACTCATACTTTAATTATAATAGTTATTAGTTTCTTACCATTGAAAGTTGCTGGTAGAACTTCTGGGAAATCAAACCGGCTGAACTCTCCTGGTTTATTTGGCATTGCAAATATCATAGAATGCTCTTTCCACTTCGAGCAATCATTGATGCCAAGTTCTCCGAACAGGTTCCAAATATTTGGGTAAGCACCAACTTCCAGAAGGAAAAAGAAAACAACAAAACATGAATATTTCAAGCAACAAAAAGAAAAACTATTTTTGACAAGCAGCAGATAGTTTAGAAGATAAAAATAGTGTGGCCAGGAACACACAAATAAAATTTTGAATGGTACAATACCTAGATTTGTTTATGACCTATCTATGTAGAAGTCCCAAGAGAAAACTATGGTCACTAAGGTAATATAAGCAGCACATAAAGTAAGGGAATTTAAACCAATTATATCAGTAAGTAATGGAATGAGAAATGCAAATAGGCCACAACTTCACCACTGTTCAATAAAGAGGAAAATGAAAAATAAGAATTATGTAAACTTGGAGAATATTGGTAGCCCTGTCTCATACCAATCTCCATCATCATCTTTCCATGCAGCCACCTAGAAGAAACTAGGCTAAATCTTGACATTGCAAGCACAAAAGAAAAAATATATATATATCACAAATATAGGTGAGACCATGTCACGCAGGGGACTTAAACTATTGACCATTGTCCTTTCAAAATCATTTTAATTGCCAGACTGTAACTGCAGAAATTAACTCAGCAATGTGATAGAAATCTAAATAAGTGCCAGTAACAGATCAAGAAAATCCACCAAGACTATGATTTGAATTTGTATGATGACAAAGGGTCAAAAGAACTTCAATATCTATTCACACTAGGACATGCTGCACCAAAATTTGCTCTTGTTTATAAAAGATGAAGTAAAAAATTTCTCTCCAAATAATTAACAACTAACTTTCCAAGTTTTAAAAGTAAAAAACTAGATATTTCACATTATAGATTTTACAGAAGAAAAGAAAGCACAAAAACCTTTCCACCTAGAACATCTCTTGCTTCCAGCAACAGAGGCTTGTGACGTGCATCTGCCGAATATTTTGCAGTGGACAAACCAGCTAAACCTGAAATTAATAGTTTTAAAACTAACATTAGAATAGTTAGAATTGGAGTGAGAAAATGAACTAAAGGAGCAAACTTTGAGAATAGATAAGAAAAAGGACATAGCAGAGACCTGCCCCAGCAATTACAACTTTGAGTGGCTTTGCCGGTCGAGAGGAAGTACAGAAAGATGAATATAGAGAAGCAGCTTCCAACAAATTAATAGTGTTGTCAAGCTCTGGTCTTGGGTAATCCATACATACTACCTAAATCATTGAAGCAAATGAAGCGATTATTTTAGTCAGGAAAAGAAGGGAAGAAAAGGGAATGCAAAAACCAACCTGCAAAGGACCACGGGCGACGTTCCTCCTATTCTTACTTCTGCTTGCTTGTAGAAATGAAAATTTCAAACTGTGTTGTCCTACGGGCATGGGAATTGAGTTGGTTTGGCCGGTGAAGTCTGCCGCAGAAACACTCCCGCCGCACAAACTCATTTCTTGAAACCCAGCTGCGAGATCGGCAAACAGAGGATGGAGGAAGTTAATTTTGAAAGAGGTGAGTGCGGTGGTGGTGGTGGTGGTGGTGGTGGTGGTGGTGGTGGTGGTGAACACTCCCGCCGCACAAACTCATTTCTTGAAACCCAGTTGTGAGATCGGCAAACAGAGGATGGAGGAAGTTAATTTTGAAAGAGGTGGTGGTGGTGACTGATAACAGAAGCATGTGCGATGCAAAATGGGTGACGTTTTAAGGTCGGCGCTAAAATGAGCCAAATTTATTTTTTTCCATATGTAAAAATGCGTTTCCTTTTAGACTGTTATACTGAAAATTTGTAATTACAACATAATTTTTTCTGCTAAACTTTTGAACGTTTTAAGGTCCCCGCTAAAATGAGCCAAATTTATTTTTTTCCAAATGTAAAAATGCGATTCCTCTTAGACTGTTGTACTGAAAATTTGTAATCACAACATAATTTTTTCTGCTAAACTTTTAAATTTAATAATTTTATTTATGTAGAGTTTAGGATTCCAAACTCCTGCAAAATGTCTTTAATAAAAAACCATTTCTTCATGCTTAAAGATAATCATCCAGACAGGCTCTAACAGACAAATTCCGAGAAAAGAGGATAGTTTCTTGGATGGAGCAGTGCGGAATCACCGTCCAACAATGACCATGGTTCCCTCTCGGCTCTCGCCACCCAGATACTGCATTTTGATTCCCCATTGTCTTTATGCTATTTAGCCCATAAATCACACAAAACATCTAATTTTTTACCCTCTTGGTTTGGCTGATTTTTCTTAAATAGCTCACTAGAGTATTTATTTTGAAAACATCAACTTTATATCATATAAAATAATTTCAAACTGTAAAATAATAGATCAATTAATAGCTACAATTATGAATTATTTTTAACATTCAATTTAGACAAAGCCTTGAACGATTTTGTGTAAACTAGTGGGAAAGAAAAAAAAAAAATCCCAAGCTCTCCTCTACGGCAAATCCCATGCAGCTTCCACTTGAGGAATTTTCCACTAAACCAAATCCATATATATATTCGGCCTTAAGAAACAAGCCTGGGAGTTCTCAGTTTCGTATATCTTTTTGGGACTTTCGTGTTTGTTATCAAACGGTTACATTCCTTGTAGGCTATAACTCCAATGGGGATGACATGTTTCCTTTCCTCGGCCTTTAGACAAGATCATTGCATGTTTGGGAGCGGTACAAATGTATGCGAGACGGACTAAGCAATCCCTCCCTAGACGGCCATCTCCAGTATGCTGGATGGATCAAGAAGTCTTTTTCTATCTCAGATCCTCAATCCAACCGGATCCTGGAATTTTCTTTACATCACTGGTCTCCATTAGCTCTCTTAAATCTCCCACGCCATGCCAATTGTTCAAGCCAGCAAACATGTTTGATAGCAACACATAACTTGAAGGGTGCTTTTTATCCAAATTCACTGCATGCTCTGCAGCTCGTTCCCCAGTTTGAATATCCCCATGAAGTTGACAAGCACCAAGCAGGGTTTGCCAAACCAGCATGCCGGGTTTAAATGGCATTGCCAATGTTAACTCCTCTGCTTCTTTAATCAGCCCACCTCGGCCAAGTAGATTTACCATGCATGCATAATGATCTTCTCCATGGGAAATTCCATGGTCACTGCTCATGGAGGAGAAATATTTTCAGGCCTCATCAATAAACCCTCCTTGGCTGCATGCATAAAGCACACAAATGAAGGTGACATAATTTGGTTCTATCCCCTCCACTATCATCTCATCAAAAATCTTGAGAGCTTCCCTAGCTTGCCCATTCTGTGCACAACCCATTATCATTGTTGTCCA